TCATTACAGATGCTCTGGCTAGGCATCTCCAAAGAAGAGACACTGTGAGTCTTGAAGCAGGAGAAAGAACCAGTATGGGGGAAGAATATCCCAGACACAAATAGGAGCACACATTGATTGTCCCTTTCCCTGAGAGCTTCAAATGCTCAAGTGTGAGCAAGCAGAAGCCAGGAGGGCACTGGGGAGAGTGAAGCCAGGTCAGACAGGATGCTGCAAGGCCTTTGGTTGAAATTAAAATTTGTGAGGGTCGCCTCCACGATGGCAGCACAAGTAGAAATAAATGCTTCCAGACAAGTTCAAGGAGATTTCAGGCTACAAGAAACATGGGGCATTCAAGGTTCGGAGAACCAGTAAGCATTCAAGTTACTCAGGAGTGAAGACCAGGCGGCAGCTACAGACATCAAGTAGAAAAGTAAAAGCGCAGGGGAAGTCTTCATCACTGTTTTGCGCATTTCATCCCAGAGTCTTACTGTCTTGTCACCCAGTAGTTTTGATTACTTGGAGGGCTGTGGATGAAGCTGAATCTAAAAGCAAAACAAAACAAAGCAAACCGCAAGACCAGTGTTGTGGCCCAGCAGGTTAAGCGTCTCCCTGCAATGGCAGCATCCCATGTCAGAGCACAGATTCAAGTTCTGGCTGCTCTGCTTCTAATCCAGCTCCCTGCTAATGCACCTGGGAAAGCAGTGAAAGATGGCCCAAGTACTTGAGCCCCTGCCACCACATGGAAGATCTGGATGGAATTCCTAGCTCCTGATTTTTGCCTGGCCCAGCTCCAAACATTGTGACAATTTGGGGCATGAACCAGTGTATGGAAGATCTTTTTTCTCTTTCTTCCTTTCTCTATTTCTTTTAAAGATTTATTTTATTTATTTGAAAATCAGAGTTACAGAGAGAGGTAGAGGCAGAGAGAGAGAGGTCTTCCATCCACCGGTTCACTCCCCAGATGGCCACAACAGCTAAAGCTGAGCTGATCCGAAGCCAGGAGCCAGGAGCTTCCACCTGGTCTCCCACATGGGTGCAGGGGCCCAAGGACTTGGGCCATCCTCCATCATTATCCCAGGGCATAGCAGAGAGCTGGATCAGAAGAGGAGCAGCTGGGACTAGAACCGGTGCCCATATAGGGATGCCAGCACTTCAGGCCAGGGCTTTAACCTGCTGTGCCACAGCATTGGCCTGCCTCTCCCCCCCCGCCCCTCATCACTCTGCCTTTCAGAAAATGTTTTAAAAAAAAAAAAAAGAAATAAAAAGATCAACTGCACTTATCAACTAATGTAAGTTGGTTCCCAAAATATCTGACTCATCATTGTGTTTAAAAAAGATTTTTTTAGAGGCCAGCGTGGTGGCTTAGCAGTTTAAGCTACTGACCGCAAGGCTGGCATCCCCTACAGGTGACGGTTCCAGTTGCAGCTGCTCCATTTCTGATCCAGCTCCCTGTTAATGCACCTGGGAAAGCGGCAGAGGATAGCCCTATGTACTTGGGGCCCTGGACCCATGTGGGAGACCCAGAAGAAGTCTTGCCTCCTGGCTTCTGTCTGACTGAGCTCTGGCTGTTGCAACCATTTAGGGTGTGAACTGGTGATGGAAGATCTCTCTCTCTCTCTCTCTCTCTCTCTCTCTCTCTAACTCTGCCTTTCAAATAAAATAAAATAAAAAATCTTTTAAAAAATTTTAACAGGAAGGGTATAGAAAGACAGCATCCTATACTGATTTCTGTATACAAGACAAATAGTGTAAGTCAGCATGGTCATCATATCCTCTGGAGACAGGCCACGCACCTGGTGCTTCCTAGATGGCAGTCCGGAGGGCGTTAAAGCAATATTTGAATGCAGTAATAAAGGTAAGGTTATCCAAAATTATATGATTCCAAGATTCCTGGAATTCCTTCTGGCATTCTATATTATGGACTTGGAATTATTTTCTCTAAAGGAGATTGAATTTTATGTCATTCTCAAGGAAATGAAGTATTTAACATTAACCTTATTACAGGAGGGATTGCTGGAAACATTTGGTGGATTCAAACTGGAGGTCACTCTAAGAAAGTAAAGACAAAATGGAATGCAAACAATCCTATTTCACACTAAACAACTCCACATGAGGAATCATTTCAACATACAGACTCAAGGGGCCGGCGCCGCGGCTCACTAGGCTAATCCTCCGCCTTGCGGCGCCGGCACACCAGGTTCTAGTCCCGGTCAGGGTGCCGGATTCTGTTCTGGTTGCCCCTCTCCCAGGCCAGCTCTCTGCTGTGGCCAGGGAGTGCAGTGGAGGATGGCTCAAGTGCTTGGGCCCTGCACCCCATGGGAGACCAGGAGAAGCACCTGGCTCCTGCCATCGGATCAGCGCGGTGTGCCGGCCTCAGCACGCTGGCCGCAGCGGCCATTGGAGGGTGAACCAACGGCAAAGGAAGACCTTTCTCTCTGTCTCTCTCTCTCTCACTGTCCACTCTGCCTGTCAAAAAAAAATTAATAAATAAATAAAAAAGACTCAAAGGCAGATGACATTCTCAGGTGCACAGTCTCAACCCCACTGACTGCCACGAGACACTGGTGCATGTCTAGAAACAGTTCCAGGCCTAGAGGCTGGTGAAACAAATTGTGGAATCAGTTTAAGATGCAGCCAGATGTTTTTGGCTCTGAAAATGAAGACACAGGACTAGCAGGGAAAAAATCCACAGTCCACTTGGCAGAAGAGTGGCAGACGGACTTTTAAAGTCATCCAGCATCAGTTAAATTGACTCCCTCTCCTAGCTCACTGTCTTAGAGCAGAGGCTCTCACCCAGCCTATGCACAGTTTCCCTTTCCTTGGTTTCGGTTACCCAGATCCAGCTGTGGTCCAAAAATACTGGCAAGGAAAATTCCAGAAAACAATGCACTCATTTTAAGTTGCATGCATTTTGAGAGGTATGATGAAACCTCACACCTTCCTGCCCCATGTGACATGAATCATCCCTTTTATCCAGTGTATCCATCCTGTATAGACTACCCACCTGTTAGTCAGCAGGGATGCAGGCAGTTCTCACACACCAAAGAGAAACCATAAACTGAACCTCAAAGGGAAAAGGTGAATATTTATTATTATGTAAGGGAGAACGCATAGCATGTACAGAGTTTACTACTATCCATGGTTCCAGACATCCACTGGAATTCTCGGAATACATCCCTTGCAGATAAAGGTAAGTGGTGTATTTCATTAAAAAAAAAAAAAGAAAAGAAAAAAGCATGTCAATAAGTTCTTTCATTTGATAGCATTTTGGAAGGATCCTTAATATCATACCACTCTGAGAAAACCAAAGATAGATCAACCTGAATTTAGATTATGAGAAGCTCAAAGTTTGATTAAGAAAATATTTATGGGCTGGCGCCGCGGCTCACTAGGCTAATCCTCCACCTAGCGGCGCTGGCACACCGGGTTCTAGTCCCGGTCGGGGCGCCGGATTCTGTCCCGGTTGCCCCTCTTCCAGGCCAGCTCTCTGCTGTGGCCAGGGAGTGCAGTGGAGGATGGCCCAAGTGCTTGGGCCCTGCACCCCACGGAGACCAGGAAAAGCACCTGGCTCCTGGCTCCTGCCTTCGGATCAGCGCGGTGCGCCGGCCGCAGCGCACCGGCCGCAGCGCGCCGGCCGCGGTGGCCATTGGAGAGTGAACCAACGGCAAAGGAAGACCTTTCTCTCTGTCTCTCTCTCTCACTGTCCACTCTGCCTGTAAAAAAAAAAAAAAAAAAAAAAAAAATTTATGTACCAACAGGTTTGAACAAGAGCAGACATTCAGGAAATAATCATAGAGATGACAAAGTAGCCTACAGGAACTTTATGAAAGCTTTATTACAGTGAAAAGCTGTGTTAGATAGGGAATCATTAAGAATGATTTTTTTAACTTTTATTTAATAAATATAAATTTCCAAAGTACAGCTTATGGATTACAATGGCTTCTTCCCCCCATAACTTCCTTCCCACCTGCAACGCTCCCATCTCCTGCTCCCTATCCCATTCCATTCACATCAAGATTCATTTTCAATTCTCTTTATATACAGAAGATCAATTTAGTATATATTAAGTAAAGATTTCAACAGTTGGCACCCACACAGAAACACAAAGTGTAAAGTATTGTTTGAGTACTAGTTATAGCATTAATTTACATTGAACAACACATTAAGGACAGAGATCCTGCATGAGGAGTAAGTGCACTTATTAATAAAGATGGAATAGTTTCTAACCATTAAAAAGAATGTTGTAGGAAATATTTAAGATCTTAGGAAACTTGGAATGTTATGAGATGAAAGAGAAAATAAACAACTATTATCTACAGTGTGATTCCAATTTTGAAAAGAAAAGAAAAATATTTTTACAAAGGTTTGTTTGTATAAGGAAGAGAAAATAGTTTTCAAAATTTTAGCAATGCTTATCTCTTGGTGGTATAATTATGAATGTTTGTTTTTCCTTACTTTATTTTTACTTTTTCCTGGTCCATCTACACTTTCCAGAATAAATATACTTTTTTTAAAGATTTATTTAAAAAAAGAGGGGGAGGGGAGAGGGAGGGGAGGGGAGGGGAGGGGAGGGGAGGGGAGGGGAGGGAAGGGAAGGGAAGGGAAGGGAGACAGAAACAAAGGGTAATAAGGAAAGAAAAGAAAAAAGCAAATTAGAAAAATATCCAACTAGTTTATTGGTCCAGATCAATAGAATTCTACCAAGTTGCTTCATGGACATGCGATCAATGCAGGTTTATGAGATGGGATTCTGAACTCTTCTAGCTCCCCACCTCCCCATCTCCACAGTCAGCTACACAATTTTCAGGGTTAAAGGAAAACATGAATCCTCCCTTGCAAATCTTGTTTTAAAAGTAGAAAAAAAATTGCAAGATATTTGAAGGGATCCAGACTAGACTACTATAGCATAAAAATTATTTTGGGCTGAAGGCTTTGAAAATCAACAGTTGTAACAAGAGGCTTTGTTTGAGCAGGTCCTACCATAAGTCTCCCCACAAGTGAGGCTTCTGACATCAGAGGAAGAGTGACTCCTGTCCCTGGGGATAAGTTCATGCCCCAGGAGAAATCGCATGAACAGAACCTACTAAAACTGACTTCGTCTTTCAATTAGACTCCCCTTAGTCATTTCCCACCCTCTCTGGTCCCTTGAAACACTACCCTGTCTTGTTACTACACTTGATCTTAGCCAAAAGGCCGAGAAGCGATACCCTGTCTTGTTTAAACCGGTGTGTGAGCCCCAAATTCTAGGCACTTCTGTGAATCACATTTTTCTGTGAGCTCCCACATACTCATGTGAATAAAAATCTGCCCTTTCTCTTGCTAATTCGTCTTTTGTCAGTTTAATTCCCAGGCTTCCAATTAATGAACATAAAGGATTAAAAGGAAAGTTTTTTTCAGCCAGATAATTTTAAAATAAAAAATTCAGGGCAGGCGTTTGGCATAGCGGTTAGGATGTGCCTTGGAATAGCCACACTCCACATCAGCATGCCTGAGTTGGAGTCCCTGTGCTTCCAAACCAGCATCTTGTTGAGGCACAGCCTGGGATATGGCAAATGATGGCTTAAGTACTTAGGTTCTGCCACCCACTTGAGATATGCAGAGTGAGTTCCAGATTCCTGGCTTTGGCCTGACCCATTCCCAGGTATTGTGGGCATTTGGAGAGTAAACCAGTGGACAGAGGCTCGCTCTTTCACTCTCTCTCTCTCTCTCTCCTCTTTCTCTCTCTGTCTCTTTCATTAAATAAATAATATAAAACTCTTTCCTTTCTTCTGGACATTCTCTATTGACTTGTCAATGTGTCTATTTATTAATTTGCCTTTTAGTTTTGTTCTAGGTAAAGAAAAATTAAAATTTTAAATTATTGGCCGGCGCCGTGGCTCAATAGGCTAATCCTCCACCTTGCGGCGCCGGCACACCGGGTTCTAGTCCCGGTCGGGGCGCCGGATTCTGTCCCGGTTGCCCCTCTTCCAGGCCAGCTCTCTGCTATGGCCAGGGAGTGCAGTGGAGGATGGCCCAGGTGCTTGGGCCCTGCACCCCATGGGAGACCAGGAAAAAGCACCTGGATCCTGGCTCCTGCCATTGGATCAGCGCGGTGCGCCGGCTGCAGCGGCGGCCATTGGAGGGTGAACCAACGGCAAAAGGAAGACCTTTCTCTCTCTGTCTCTCTCTCTCACTGTCCACTCTGCCTGTCAAAAAAAAAAAAAAAAAAAAAATTTTTAAATTATTAACATTAACAGTAATGTGTATTGTGCAATTCATTTTTAAATGCAAATATAAGAGCATTTCATTCTTATACAAAATCAGTGAAATTATACAATTTGTAATTTGCAGCTTGTTCATGCATTATGTATTTTGCTCTTACAAGAACATCCATTTCTGTCAAAATGCTGCACAAAACTGTCTTAACCGTTTTTTTAAATTTTGCTTTTGATGTACACATATTCTACCAATATTCCCAACCATTGGCTTACAGGTGATAAGGAATGATTGCAAGGAAATTAAACCACCGGATTTTTTTTAATCATTCTACTTTTTTTTTCATCGTTTTTAGCACAATTGGCAGTTGACAGAGAAGGAACAGGAGTACGAAATGGTATGATAGGGTTCCTTGGTCTCTGGTTTCTTAGAATGTCATTGTCTTCTTTCTGAATTAGAAGGAAATTTTGGTTCAAATGTAAGGAGTGACTTTTAAGCCCCTGTGAACTCAGTTGTGGAGGTAACATGCTCACCTTCTCATGGCTTTGAGCCTTGCCGAACTCCCACATGTGGAGAATTCTGCGCTCATGGGGAAGCAGCCAACCCTATATGCAAATGGGGCAGCTATAGGCAAATGGAAGAGCAAGAAATGGACTTCTAGCACAATGTACCCATATGCTTATATGCTGACTCCATTGTCCCCTTGGATTTCACTTACACAACGTTAAGTTCAGAACTAAAATGATTAAGAATCTCCAGATGGTGATAACAGCACTTGAGGCTGAGCAGAGGAAACATCTGAAAGTGGCACCCTACATAACGGAACAATTCACACACCCATGAAGCTGGCCCTGCCCACTTCCACCAGCATAGTTCCACGTGGGGTTGTGTTTAAGGTTTCAGCTGAATAAAGATTTCATACAGTATTAAAAATATTTACCTAGCTTAAATGATAAACTCAAATACTTGTGGGACTGGGAAGGCAATAAAAATGAACCAAGTAGGCTTTTTCAGTCTCTCTTTTTTTTTTTCAGTATTGAGAGATGGAGGGAGGGGCACATTTATTTCCATTTCCTCTTAACTCTATCATAAGTACAACAGCAACCCTCATATTTTGATAAACAGCAGCTAGCCCTGTTTCAGTGTTCAGAGACACTGAGGATTGTTGAGGGACGGTGGGACAGAGTGGGCAATTGCTCCACCAGCCATTGCTCAGAGCCAGCTGCTGAGTGCCGGGGGAAGCAAGCCCTGTCTGCAAAAGCATCCATTTTTTTCAAGAGAGACTAAAAATTCAAACCTTCACAGAAAATCTCCCAATTTTTCAATGTTGTCAACTAATTAAACTGACTTTGACAAAGGAGAACTTAACATACAATTACCTGCCACCAGGGGCACTGCTTAAGGAGATGGTGTTGGGAAAAATGGCTCATCCTGTGGAGAAAAACAGAGCTAAACCCAGAGAAGAATAAAACTCAGTCCTGATGTGACACCACATATAAGGGATGTGAAAGCCAACATAACAAAAGTAATAGGAGAAAGTGTAGAAAAATATCATAGCTAAAGACCTCTTTAACAAAATTTCAAAAGTAACACCCATACAGAAAATAACTAATGAATGTGATTACAACAAAAATTAATATGAAAAAAATTAAGAGACCTATAATAGATTAGGAGAAGATAATTGCAACGGATAAAACAATAAGAAATGTAACTATAAAATATTACTGCTCAACAGAAGTATTATGTAAGACACACGTGTAATTTTAACTTCTTAATATAGCTGTACTATAAAAGTAAATAAAAATATACATAAAATTCATGTAAATAATGTTTTTTATTTATTTGGATCATTTTAACATCTAATTCCTATAAAATTATTATTGAGATATTTTATATTTTCTAAATACTATATTTACTAAATCAAGTGTATTCTACACTTAAAACATACCTCAAATCAAACTAGCTACTTGCAACGTGCTGAAAAGTCATACGTGGCTAATAGTTACCACACTGGGCAGCATAGGTCTGGAATACACAAGAAAAGCCTTTAAGTAAATAATAATAAACCTTAACGTCAATTCCCATAGGAAAATGGGCAAAGGGTATGCACAGGCAATTCACAATGGACAAAATACTATGAAGATGTGAACAGGTATTCTGAATCATTACTAACTTAAAAGAAAGACACCAAATTAAACCTACACACCTGGAAAAATCATTAAGTTGGATAGTGCTAATAGTTGGTGGGTACACAGTTACAAAGATAGATGAGTACAAACATGAATGAGTCTTCCTCAAGTTAAATAGATGGCAGCAGTCATCTGTGATACTGGACATTTATCCTAAAGAAATGTATATATAGCTTACAATTGATTTTCTTTGCCACAAGACTATAAGCTCCACAAGAGAGGAGATTTTGTTTTGGCCTTCTATTTATCTCCAATGTTGACATCAGGGCTGGCGCATGGTAGGTGCTCCATTAATATTTGTACAATGACTGGATTATGTCACAATCATTGAAGTAATCCAACAAGGTATGTGCTTCATAGGAGGGGACTTCAAGGAAAATGGGGTGGGTGCTTGACACAGTGGTTAAGATGCTGGTTTAGGATGTCTACATCCATATCAGAGTGCCAGTGCCAATTCCAGTGGGCATAGCATGCAGCTTTTGGGACAATGAGTTTGGAGTCAGCCTTGAGCTGGAATCCTAGCTCTTCTTTCCACCCAGGAGACATTGTGCAGGTTGCATAAGCACTCTGCTCTTTGGGGTCACAGCAATCAAATGAGGATCCTAAGAGCATAGGGGTGGGGGAGGCATTTGGTACAGCAGTTAAGATTCCACTTGGAATGCCTGTATTCCCTATCAGAGTGCCTGGGTTCAGCTTCTGACTCCACACCAGATTCTGTCTTCCCAATAGTTCAGACCCTAGGAAGCAGCAAGTGATGGCTCAAGTACTTGGGTCCCTGTGACCCATGTGGGAGCCCTGGTGTGAGTTCCCAGCTCCTGGATTTGACCTGGCCTAGCCTCAGTTAATGCAGATGGGATAGTTCTCCCTGTTCCTCTCCCTTTCCCTCTCCCTCCCCTCTCCCTCTTCCCCTCCCCTCCCTTTCCCTCCCTCTCACTCTTCCCTCCCTCTCCCTCTCTTCCTCTCCCTCTGTCTCTGTGCCTTTCAACTACATAAATTTTAAAGGTAAATGAAATATTTTGGAGGTGGGTGGCAGGGCAGGTATGGTGGGAAGAATAACTATATTTCTAAAGTTGTACTTACGAAAGTTGTATTCCTTAAAAAATTAATTAATTTAAAAAACTTTAAAGTTCATGGGAAGTGTAATGAAAAGATAAATCTATTAGGGTCCAAAATTTTTAAATTCACACATAGATTTTTTTTTCATAATACATGTTTCCCATGAACTTTGTTGAAAACCCTCCCATAGGTGAGGAAAATGAAACTCAATGCAGCCATCATTCCACCATCACACACGTGCAGTCACCAGTAGAGATGGCACTGATACAAGGTCTAACAGCCAGGCCGACTCCCAGGCAACATCTGTGCATTGTTTCCATCTTCCTCTTTGGGCATCTCAAAGGGAAAGTCAATCTCCAAATGTTTAGAGAGAGCAACTGCACTATCACATTTGCAGGTTTAAATTAGAGTATATTTACATGCACGAAGGGTCTGCTTGACTAGAATTCACTTTAAATTCCTCTATATGTTTTGGGTCATGCCTTTCCTCCAAGTTTTTATTAAACAAAGAAGAAGGAAGGGAGGGAGGGAGGGAAGACACAGGAACTGCAATAGATGATAGCTTTTGTTCTACACACATTTATACCTTTGGTAACAAAACAGGCAGTGTCCAAGAGAAACCAATCACAGCTTTATTTTACAACGGTAACGTTAAAAAGGGTTAACACTTACCCACTAGTTAGCACACCGGTTGGGTTTTGCCTTTTCTGTTCTCTTCTGGCTTTGATGAGCTATCTTCAGAAGATTTTTTGAGTACTTGCTTCATTTTCTTGGCTCTTTTGGACTCCCCATTCCTTGGCAGGTTTCACCCTATTTGGGTATAAGTACCCACTCCGTATCTCCTCTCCATTTGCTATTTCATGAATAAGTGCTAACTAACTTTGTAGCAAAACAAATCCATCTGGAAATTGGCATTTCCACGAAGTGTTTTTAAAACTGCTGTTCATCATTCCCAGTGTGTACGCATGTGTGAAAAATTCAGAATACATTAAAGCAAGAAGCTTTGGAAGGGCTGGGTGTACATTTAGAAGCCAGAATGCATGACACAAGAGTAGGGCACGCTCTTGAGAGCTCTGAGGGTTGACAGGCATTTGTGATAGGCATGTTAAATATTTGACCATTTTGACCAAATGCTGTGTCATAATCTATTTACCAAAAGATTATTTCTAAATTGCCAAAGGATCAAGTTACACCAAGTCAAAGTACATATACCTACATTATTTTGACCCCATTTCACAGATAAGGAAAATCAGGCTTACAGAAGTAAAGTACAAAACAGCATATCAATAATGCAGGAAAAAGTTGGGCTTGGAATCCAAGCCTTTTTCAGAAAGTCTCCAACTCACCAACTCTTGTCTATTACTTTTCTGATGAAAGGTTTCCTGATGACAGAAAAAGGTCTTAATCACTTGAGTCCAAGGGACCCTTCAGTGACAAGTTGCAGGAGATGGAAGAACAGGACTGAAGGTGCTGAGACAAAATATACGATTTCCTCAAGTTGTTCATATCCTGTGCAGAGGGAGCAAAACATAAGGAGCACCCATATACTCTTGTGCCCCAGGCCTTCCCCAGGACCTTATGGCTGTGACCACGTCTGTGTCACTTACCAGTCTACACCCAACCCATTGCACATGTTTGGCATCCAGTAGGTGCTCGCTGAGTAATTAGTACATGAATGAAGATATCATTAGATCTGCCAACTCAGAAAAGAAACCTTCTACGGACATTTGAAGGTAATGTCTGGAGAGTACTACCTTCAGAAACTAAAGCATGGAGCAGGTGGATAAAAGAATTTATCTTTGATTGGCAACCTCACAGATGGCCCCTAATGATCCCACCTCTGGATAATCACTCCTTATGTCACCTCTTCCCCTTGATCAGTAGCCAGACTTACTTATTTGCTTCTAACACATAGAGTACAGCAAAAGTAATAGAATGTCATTTCCAATCTTAGAAATAATAAGTCTGTAGTTTCTGAGTTATAGTAGGTCCCCCTTACCCACAAGGATTAAGTTCCACGATTCCCAGTGGACACCTGGAATCATGGATAGTACTGAGCCATTCCAGAAATGTGAGAGCAGCTTCTCTATCACCATATGTGGCCTCTTCAGTAATCTTTGTATTGTCAGTCCAAACCCATTCCTGAATCTGTATAACCATCCTCTACTTGCAGTAAGTGGCTCATTTCAGAAGATCCCTTGCTCAAGTCCCGATAGAGGCTCAACCCTTTCTGGTTCAACACATTGCTGTCAATGAGGACACATTTTCAGTTCATGTCTTCCACCTACCAATGTGTGCCTTCCATGTTCACTAAGTACTGACCCTGCACGATAGCCATAACTGTTGCAGTCTGAGATGTGATAGGCAACTAGAATGAATTTATTTCCTTCTTCACAGCTTCATGGGTAGAAGATCCAGTGTGATTTTCCTTTAAGTTAAGAGCTTTTCTTTTTCAAGTAAAAGAAGCACTTACAGCCTCTCTCTCGGGCACATCCAAATTTCCAGCAACACTACTTTTGCATTTGGGGCCATTATGAAATACGACAAGGATTAGTTGAATACAAACTCTGATATCATGACAGTAGCCTTGATAACCAAGCTGTCAACCAAGTGAACCATGGGGAGATAGAGTATACAGCATGGCCCACAGTTTAAAACTTAGGCATTGTTTTTTTTTGTTTGGTTGGTTGGTTGGTTGTTTTAGGAATCTCCACATATCCATTTAGTATTTCAGATCACAGTTAAGCAAGAGTAACTGAAACTATGCAAAGCAAATCCAAACCCAGTAGTAAGGCTGAACTGTTGCAATCTCTTTTGTGCTCGCTTGCTCTCTCACTCTCTCCTCTCTCTCTCTCTCTCTCTCTCCCCCTACCTTCTTCTCTGTCTCAGATTAACACTGTCACATTACATGGACATCCAGATAGCCTAAGAAAAGAAGCATGTTTGGCAAAACAAAACAAACAAAATTATAGCCTGCAGTATGAGCTAGCAACTAGGCAAGGAAACAACCAGACAAGGAAGCTTAGAAGTAGATCCTGGGAGACCTGTCAGTAGCTACATAGGTGGTACCCTTGGAAGAGGATTCTCCAACCCCATATGAGCCTTGAAATGACTACAACTCCAGCTATAGACACGCTGACTGCAACCTCCCAAGATGCCCAAACCAGAGGCACTCAGCTAATCCGTGTTCATATTCCTGATTCACAGAAACTGTGAGATATAATAAGTGTTTGTTTTTTTAAGGTGATAGGTTTTGGAGTAATCTGTTATGCACACATAAATAACTAACACATTTTCTGATAACTTCCAAGAAAATGAATCAATGAGTATCAATGAAAAATTGCAGCTATGAAAATGGTATAAGAAGACTTGATAACTTCTGTTTGCTACTTCCTGGTTGGTTTTCCCACAGTGATTGCTATAAACTTCTTTACAAACAGAAAGAATCATTTATAAGGAGAGCAAAAGAGTGGGGAAGGCTGAAGATGCAGATCTGCGTCCACAGCTACGCCTAGAAAGAAAGGACATCCACAAAACTGAATGTGTAGTCACAGTTTTGAAAAGGGAGACAGGCAGACACAGGGAATGTCCCAGAATTCACAGTGAGTCCTTTGGAAAACTCACTTTGCTTTCCCAATGCTCATAACACCAATCAATTGGAAGATACACATCAACCAGGATTAGCTTCAGTTATGTGGAAAAAGAAACCCCTGAACAATGCAGGAAAAGAGTATATTTCTCACTCCTATAGGGGGAACTCATGTGAGGATGCTCAGGCCTCTCCCTGTCTGATATCCTCTGGAACTAGGCTCTTGGCACTCATCTTCAGGGTCATATGTAAGGGCAACCCCACCCTCTCAGCCTAACTGGGCTGTTGGGAGAGGCAAAGAGTAACACACCCATCCTTTGAAATAGACTTCTTGGTGTCCCACACAATCTGTTGATATCTCACTGCCTAATATTTACTCACACAGCACACCTCAGTGCAAAGGAGGCTGGGAAATTAATTCAGCTGAAATCCAAGATTCTGCTACCAAAAGGAAGAGGAGAACAGACACTAGAGAGGCAACTGAAAATGGTCCCATTTCTAATGTAACTGCACCCTAACAAATCCATCACTGTGGGTTGAAAATAATTTAAGCCAGGGGAAGATACGGCACAGTGGACTGAGCCACCACTTGGGGTGCCCACGTCCTGTACTGGAGTACATGGTTCAAGTTCTGTCTAATTGGTGCTTCCAATTCAGCTTCCTGCTCAATGTGCCTGAGGGGCAACCAATGATGGTCAAAAGGTTTGGGTTCCTATCACCCAGTGAAGACCCAGATGGAGTGCCTTGCTCCTGGCTTCGGTCTGGCCCAGCCCTGCATATTGTGGCCATTTGGAGAGTAAATCAGCAGATGGAAGATTACTTTCCATGTCTCCCTCCATCTCTCTGTCATTCTGCAGTTCAAATAAATAAAGATTTTAAAGGAGGAAACACTGTAAATCAAAAATGCATTTAATTCAAGCTACACAACACAGCCCAGTGTAGTGTTACCATTTACCCTCGGGACTGTGGGGCTGCCTGCGAGCTGAGGCTCACAGCTACTGCCCAGCATCAGGAGTGACTATTGCACCACCAATCACCAACTCAGGAAAAGGGCAAAATGCAGAATTTGAAGGATGGTTTCTACTGAGTAAGCATTGCTTTCATACCATCATGAAGTCACAAAATGTTCAGTTGAGCCATTGTCAGTTGGAGCTGTAGCAACCTCTGCTCCAGATTACAAGACCAACGGAGCACCAGGGGGCTTGTCATTCTGAGCTCTCCACGATTGGATCACCTCTCATTTTCAGGTTTGCCTCTCCTTTTTAACTTCATCACACAGGACTGGACAACACTCTCTGTGCACCCCCTCACTTCACAACTTTGCTCTGCAGCTCCCCCATCCACACATACCCCACTCTAATGCCGCTGCTCTGAGATTCTTTGCTCAGTCATATCCTTCCACTGAAAACCTACAGCACCGATTTGCACCTTTGTCCAATATAATAGAAAAGATATATATTTACATGCACTTTTCAACTGCCAGACACTGCGCCAAGAATGCAAATGGGAATAAGATAAGGAGCCAGCCTTCAAAAACTGCGTAATAGTCAATCGATAAATGTTGGTTGAATAATGGGTGGTTAATCGGCTTTGCAGTATCGTACCAAGTTTTATAATGGTTTTGATAAACACATGCATCACAAAGAATGGACTGTGGATTGTGGCCCTTGCACATCTAATTCAATAGGAGTTGCTCAATGCCTCTGAGGTGCTTGGCATAATGTTTCACACTGATCTTCCTATCCTTTATTCACATACTTATTTTATATCCCCTATGTGCCCAATGTGGTACGTGGCTCTGTGCATGAAAAGAAAAGCCTACTCCCTTCCCTTGGGAACTTGGGGAGACACTCAAAAAAAAAATGGAGCATTCTAAGCCAGCCACTGTAAAAAACAAGTCAGTGAAATACACAAAGTGATTAAAATACTCACCCTAGGTTGGAAAAGTCACGGAAGCTTCCAGGGCACAATGACACTTGAGACTGAAAAAGAAACAGAAGTTGGTCAGACCCTGAAGAGACAGAAGTGCAGCCCACAGCAGAGGGAACATCATCTGCAAAAACCCAGAAATAGGAAATCGAAACAAAGGGGCCAGCACTGTGGCGTAGTGGGTAAAGCCACTGCCTGTGGCACCGGCATCCCATATAGGCACCAGTTCAAGTCCCAGCTGTTCCACTTCTGATCCAGCTGCCTGCTAATGAGCCTAAAAAAGCAGCAGAAGATGGCCCAAGTACTTGGGTTACTGTACCCCCAAGGGAGACCCAAAAGAAGCTCCTGGTTGCTGCCTTTGGCCTGGCTCAGCGCTGACCATTGCAGTGATTTTGGGAGTGAACTAGCAGATGACAGAACAATTGTGTCTCTCCTAATCTCTCCTTCTCTTTCTCTACAAATCTGCCTTTGAAATAAGTAAATAAAACTGAAAAAAAAAACTGGAGTACAG